ATATGTTTGCTTGTTTCCCCTTCCCCCACTAGGGTATTTTCAAGCTTGGGAGCATCTCAAGGTGTTGTGGGTGGTTCAACAGGCGACTCTGGCCAATAGCCGGTGTCACTTGGCAAGAAGGCCACAACGTGTGCCCTAGGGGACTTTGCAGACTTGTAACTTTGCAAGTCCTGCAGTGATGAGAGTCGTGTCAGTCTCCTGGGCTTCGTTTGGAGCTGAATTTGGTTCAAGAACATGGTGTCTCCTTCAGTCTGGACCATGTCTACTCCAATCCAAGACAGAGCCCGAGCTGCATTTGCTGTGGCTCTGCCAGGGACAAAAGGTGCCATCACAGGCTCTCTCTGAACATGGGCAAGCAGAAGGTAAGTGTGAGCCAACTCTTTTGCCCACCAGGCAGCCACAGATATCAAAGAAGCACGAGTCCCAGGGGGGCCTTATTTATTCTTGATGCTTCAATTTAAGCTTGTCTTTGCTGCCTAGATCTCACAGCAGGAGGGGAACTGAGGCGTTTCTGCATCTCTCTCCCTCACAGCTTCAGATACATCTACAGCCATTTATAGACAGAGATCATGGTTGCCGAATGAAAGGTGGGTTCACATTTTAGCTGTATCTACTTCTGTGAGATGAAATCTCTCGTTTTTGCCCTCTCACCTCTGTGAGGCTGAAGCCATTCCTTCCAGTCCCTGAGAGGGTTTTGTTTTCCTGTTCTCCCTCCAAGCATCAACTGCCTGCAAAGAGCTGGGGCAGGAAGGGTTAACCTCCATTTCCCTCACTCACTACCACAAAAAAATGCACAAAGACTTGTCCACACTGCTGCTTCCCTTGTTCCGCTGTGTAAAGGGAAAGAAAACCCCAAACAAACCAGAGATAAAAACCCGGCAGGTTTTATAGATCAGCAGCCAAAGAAAAAGCAGGGACAAGGAGCAGAGGGCTGGGGAGGAGAGCCCTTGGCTGGCCCCACACAGGGCTTCCCGTTCACATCTTTCACTATATCCTCTGCCCTCCAATAAACACTGCAAAGCCTGAGAATCACCCAGCATCACAAATCACTGCACCTCATTCCCATATGTCGCCCATGTTCTCCCTCTGGTCCCAAGAGTTCTCTACAGGGCAGCCAGCAGCCCATTGCCACCCAACACCTTGCTGCACAACACTTTGGTGCCCTGCCTACTAGCACAGATTCACAAGATACTCGTTACCTTTCCTTATGCCATTTCCCCCTTTCTACCCACCCTTGCTAATGTCCTGCCCCTCCTTGTCTTTTTGTGCACCGTCTTGCCCCAAAATGTCTTTTTTTTTTGGGGGGGGGTCTTATTTTTTTCTTATTTGCAGAAAAAGAATGAGTCTAGGAGCTTTGTGAGTTTTGTTTTCAAGCACACATTTTGTTTTGATAAACGGCATTGTTTTGTCTATAGAAAAGTATTAACTGCTTACATCTATTTTCTCAAAGACCGCACATGAATATTAAAAGGGATTTATTCCTACAATGGCTTCGGGCAGTTGAGTAATCCATTATAGGCTGTCATATCACACTGTGGTAATGTGAAAAGCTGGGAGTCCCTCCAATAATATTTATTAGCAATACAGGCACATTTTCACTTTACAGGTTTTTTTCTCCCTTCCTGTGATAAGTTCACATATAAAAATATTCATTAGTTTCTTTAAGCTGTTGCTTGATTTTAATTATGGCTGTGATAATGATGATTTAAAACAATAAGTGAGTTTCACGCAAGTGATAGTGACCTGGTTTATAGCGTTTACTACAATAACGTTTAATTTGAGGCCCCCCCCAGGCCACCTGGACAGTTCGTGTGGGTTGTGCTTCCCTCCCTCCCTGGGGTCTCACGCAGGCACAGCAATGTAGGAGCTCTACAGCCCTACTGCTGCAGACCTCACAGTCCTGCTTTGGGCATGGGGCAAAGGGAGTTAGGAGGGTGAAAAAAGGCTTATCTCCTTCCCCTATCAATGTCAAAGAGTCGTGTGTTGGAGAGGGGTCTCCATATCAGACTGTAACCTCACCACGTGCCCCCCCGCCCCCCTTGTCCTCACAATTCAGCTGTGCTGTATTCATTTTGGTTTGTTTTTCTTTTGACCTTTTCCACAGAAGATTTTGACTCCCTCCTATTTTATCTGATCTTTTGATTGCTTTAAGTTTTTCCTGGTCTTCACCTACCCACACCAGAATTGGAGTTGTTCCTGCTCCCAGTGACACCGAGGCATGGCAGAACCTCCCCCCCATTTCTCCAGGCGGATCTCCCGGAGAGGTGCTGAGCCATTAGGGTGGGCTCCAAACTGCTTTATTGTTCCCCTGTGGAGCCAGCCAAGAGTCCAGCGAGGACAGCACCTGCAGTGACACAGCCACTTGTTCCACCGGGCCCTGAGCCAAGACCGGCTCCTTATTTCACAGGAGTCGTCGAGCTGCTGCCAGAGGCTAACGAATGGTGGTCAACAGTGAACTGACCTTCCTCTGAGCTCGTGATCCCAAGGCAAAGAGCTCCATTTATCCAGAGCCCACTAGTGCCAATCAGCTCTTCTGCATCACCTTCAATCGGATCTGGCTAGGAGGGCAGCTTGTTAAATGGTTTTGCTGTCCTCAGATGGGTGCAGGCACACAGAGAAAACACTTGCCTTCATTTCTTGCTTGCTCCGTCTCGTTATACACCAGACATGAGCAGACCATAACCTGCTGACAAATACATGCTGAAGGTGGGGTGTATACGGACAGGCTGTACTGCCCGTCATGAACTTGGAAGTAGGCTGTGGGACAAAAGGTTTTATTCTGAAAAGAAGATCTTGGTCGAGTCGTGTTACTTCCTGCGACAGATGGGTAATCTACAGCAGTTTTGATGAGCGAGTATCAGTAAATGGGTTGTGTGTAGGATTGATTAGTCCCCATGGTTCACCCAGGGCTTTGCAAGCCCTGCAGAGTTTTGCAAGTAAAGAGGATTTTTACTGTGTGTGTAGAGAGGGGATGGAGAAGCTAAAGAATGGGTGGAAAAGAGGCTTAGGAGCATTAATGTTGTCCTCTACCTTACCCCAACTGGCTCCAGACTTTTCCTGTGGTTCACAACTGTGTTTCTTTTTTTTGGCTTTTACCTCCTACAGGTAAAAACCCTCCTCTCCTCTCAGTTGTCACTGCCCTGCTTTGCGGATAAAATGTCTGCTCTGAGATTATGCCAGCACAAGTCAGCTTGTGTTTACACATGTGGGACCAACATCTGCAGGTGGGGCTGTGCATGCATGCAAATGCAGATGGTCCATGGTGTGGGTGGGAGGATGGGAGTGTACACTAAAACAGCAGGGCTCACCTCCATGGCCCCTTTGTAACTCATTCTTCAGCCCAAACTCCCTGGCCAATACTTGTGACATAACGATAATCTCCACAGCAACCTATTACGATTATATAAATAAACCTTTTCAACATTATTACACTGCACAGAGGAGGAACAGAGTGATGAACCACAAGGGGTTGGGGGAAGAAATAGTTGTGTAGACAGTCGAAGACATCTAACTGGCCATGAAGGGAGTAATGACCCTAAATTACATGTAAACAAACAGGGTATTGTTTAAGATCCCTTATCTGTTAATAGCAATAATTAAGAAGATGGAGTCTCGGCTAGTATTCAGATAGACAGTTCTCTTCAGGAAGCTTCTTATGGTTCAGATGGTAGTGTTCAAACTTGCAAGTCAAACCCAGGTTGAACTTTTCTGGATATGGAGAGCTGCTCAGTGCTGGTGGGCAAGACACCTTTTCATGCCTTGTAAAGTATTTATTTCTTCAAATACTTTGGCTTTGGATGAACTTCTTTGTCTCAATATTGAAGTGTGACCAACTTGCATAGACTGGATGGTTTCAAAAGGAATTGTCTTGGTTCCTCAGGTCATCTCTGAGCATCCTTGCACAGCTCTCTGGGAGGGGGTGTTATAGTGGGGCCTACCAGTGGGCTGGCTTTCTCAGGATGAAGGCCTTAAAGACTGCTCAGGGGAGGCAGAAGAGAAGTGGACAGCTTCCTCATGTCTTCACTTTTTAATGTGAAATGAAAGTCTACATCACCAAATGTGCTTCTTACCTGTCTTCCTGTTCCCAGTACTCTCTATTTGCTCTGCCCACTGCCCTGGTCTCCAGCCCCTGCCAGATGAAGCCTCTGTACCTCAGTTTGCTGTGTTGTGGCCAGCAACCATAACTGACCAAGGTCCTGCTTCATCTCCCTGCATCCCTTCCTGCCACTGAGCTGCTTCTGGAATCTGAGAGGAATCAATATACAGCAGCACACGGCTTTATTAAACACATCTATTCTCTCTGGATGGCTGCAGAGGACTTCAGTCTCCTGTTCTATGTGTAAATCCTGGCATGGAGTTTTTTCTTCTTCCCTCACCCTCCATTGTGGCTTCACTTTCCATGAAATCCCAGCACGGGATGTACATTGTTCATTTTGCCCGTGATAGCATGATAAAATCCCAGCTCAAACTGGCCACAACAGCAGTTCTGTTGCTAGTTCCACACCACCAGGCTTGACCTCAGCAGAAGACCTTGCCCTCAAGAGCAGTTGGAAACCTAAGACCTGGTGCCTGAGTGTCATTGTGGACACAAACCTGGGTGCATTAGGCTGCAAGAGAAGTAGCCGAGTGAGCAAGTTGTTCCCTGAGCCAGCCGCAAAGGACTCATTAGCCAGCAGCTATTTAGGCAGTGGCACTGCAGCAACTCTCAGCCGGAAAAGGCTGATTTGTGGCAGTTTCCTCTCCACACTGAGAGTGCACTGATCAGGAATATAAATACCGTTAATCCCCAGCGTTAATACCAGCCGCTTTGATCATCTTTCCCCATTATCACTCCCTTGCTGTTAATAAAAGTGATAACCATGGGGGAGAAGGGAAGGGGGACTGGACTAATCAGTTTGCAGTTGGCGATGCTGTAAGTAAACTGTCAGGTCTGGAGATTAGGGAGCTGAGGAAACCCTGGAGAGATGGTGTTAAATAAACACTTTTGTTCATGCAGGTTGGAAAAACGAGACGCCCAAGGCAACCCTGCCTCAGTGACAGTGCCTCTGGACTACGAGGGGGAGCCTAAAATCAAATTTCTGCAGGGAACTTTCTTCAGTTTTCTAAGGTATGCCTCCTTTTAATCTGGAGCTGTTGGCTGGGTGGTTTCCAAACTTGCTTGAGTTGTTGGGAAAGGGGCAGGGAGGGCCCTGTGTTCCCAACCAGGTACAGCAATTTGTGGGTTTCTGCTCCATCCTCTTCCTTTAGGTTCACACTTGCTCTGAGCCACCCAGCTACATTGGCCTCGGGTCTGGGGTTGTACCAATGAAATCACCCCCAGGCTTTGGAAAGCCTTTTCTTGGGTGAGGAGTGGAGAGAACATATTTCCCTGCACAGATCCTTGCTGATAGCTCAGGCGAACTAGGCAAAACAGATAGTGATTGATAGTATTTGCTTATGATGGTTCCTGATGGCATTTTGAGGAAGAATGGAGAGATAACTAATTTGCTCGCCAGAATCTTAGCTTACCTTTGAAAAAGATAATTGAGTCTCTTGCCTTCATATTCAAAAGATAAATGTGCCTTGAGAATGGCCAATTGTGTCTGATTGTGTCTGCAGAGAGCCTGAGAATAAGGAAAAGCAGGTGCATCACTAGCACATTAGTTACAAACTCTCTTGATAGGCACTTAAGTGGCCCCATTATTAACCAGCCTCTGCAGGACTGAAAGGGCAGGGACATCCCTGCCATGAAAGCGTAAAAGATCTATAGGAAATCACACCTCATTCTGGTCTGAAGCAGTGTCTAACACCATACATCTGGATACAGAGCAGAACCTGGGAGAATACCAACAGCTTTTGTTTTCAGGCTGATTGTGGTTGATGGTGAAGCTGGGAGAGGAATCCAGGAATCCCCAAACCCTGGAAACAGGGCTCAGTGGGAAGGCATAACCCATGCTTTTTGTGTCGAGACGGCTGGGGCTGAGGTCCACCAGAAGAAACAGGGCTAGCCTGGGTTGAATCCAAGCCAAGAGTGGCTCTGCTCCGTCATTGCAGAGCAAGACTGTGAGTGAATGGCCTGCTGCTTGTGGAGGAAGCCATGCCCACGTCCATCTATCAGTGGGAACTCCCAAGCTGGAACAAGGCACCAGCTGGAGTCTGCCCAGTGCTCCCATTCCCTTCTTCCACCTGCTCAGCCCCATCCGCCAAGAACTCTTCCCTCCGCATTGTTTTCCCTTTTTCCTTTTCCTAGTGGCATCCAGCCCAGAGCTTCCACAGGAAAGGGCAAATGGGCTGGGAGGCATTTTAACAGCAAAAAGCAACTTGCAAGAGCTTTGCAAACTTCTGGATGGGGCCAGAAGGTCTTTTTTTCTGCGGCAGCTGGTCAGAGATAGCAAGAGCAAGATTCGCCTGAACCTTTGATAATTAAACTCTCAGCTGCCGAAGAGCTGGCTGCCTGGCTGCCAGATAAATGCTGTTTCCCTTGAATTAGTGTGGAGCCAAAGTGACATCCAATGGCTGGTTAGGCTCATCAAACTGGCTGTTCTCTACAGCTATCCCAGGGGACAGAGCCCAGGCGGCCATTTGCCAATGGAAAAAGGCAAGTACAAATTCCAGGCACGTATCATCCTGCTGAATTTATCACATCTGCAGTTCAGGTACTTTTAGACTTCCTGATGTCATAATACTCCTTTATACAAGAGCTTTCAGGGAAAGCTCCCAAATATGCATTAGACGGAGATGTAATAAGACAGGTCCTGTATATTAAATAGCTACTGCCAGCTCAAATTCAGTCCCAAATTTAGGGTTGAAATGAATGAACTATTACAAAGCCTGACACCATCAGAAACATTGCTGCACAATTTATTTTTTGGACAGGAGTTGGAAGAAAAATTGTGGGGGTGCTATTTCTTTAGGAGAAGGGAAGTGCCACCTGCAGGGCCTGCAGACGGGGCTGGAGAGTGACAATCTGAGAGCCGGCACTGATAAACGTGGGACTAACACCGAGCCTCATCCCCCAAGCTGAGAGAAATTGAAAATGCAAACAAAGAGGTAGAAAGAGCGGAGAGCAAATTGGTTTTCAAAAACTCTTCCTGTTTCAGTCATCTCAGGTGCTGCTGGATTCCGAGTCCCAGAAGTGTGGCAGTGATTTTTAAGCTGACAAGGTCCCCTATGCGCCAGCTGAATGTGTCAGGACAGAGAATTATTATTTCAAAGGCAATGAAAGGAGGGATACAGTTTGTTAGATGCCAGGCAGTGTCCCTGCTTGCTAAGAAAGGGCAATGTTAGGATGGACTGAAGAGCAATGTTAAGATGAGGCTAAAGAGCTGCCCAGGAAAAGATGACACTGAGAAAGATACAGACACCAGCAGTGGGCAGGTTGCTCATCCCACAGGGTGGTGGGAGGGGAACAAATCTTTGTCATTTCCTTTTATTATTTTATTTTATTTTATTTTATTTTATTTTATTTTATTTTATTTTATTTTATTTTATTTTATTTTATTTTATTTTATTTTATTTTATTTTATTTTATTTTATTTATTTCAATTTAATTCCTCCCAGGGTGAATGCAGGGATACTAACTGCTTCCTTAGGTAGCGTTTCTCTTTGCTGGGCCCTGATGCTGAGAGGTCTCTGACGTAGGTGGGAAGGGTGGCGAGGGCTGGAGGAGCTGAGCTGCATGTGGCACGTCCCCCAGCGAGCTCAGGGAGTGAGGAGAGGAGAGGGCTCTGCGCTGGCATCGAGTGATGGAGGAGGCTGGGTGGGCTGCCAGGAAATGGTTCCTCTCTGTTGTTATTGAACACCTACTCACCAGGGCTGAAGGATCACCTGGTGTTTAAATATTAAATATCAGTAAATCAGCTGAAGGAGTGCCTGTCCAAGAGCTGATGAATGTGTGCTGGTGAGGGCTGTGCTCAGGGCCGCCTGCATCTGCAGTCTCCCCCTGCTCACATGCCCCCTGCACACGCACGTGTTGGCATGGGGGCTGTGCACGGACAAATTATGAAGGCTACTTGCACTGACTTTTTGCTTGAGAAAGAGGAGATAAAAGCCTCCAGTCCCAGCAATTCAGCACTAAAACATCTATTTCAGCACAAGCCACAATGCGCCTCGGTGCTGGGAACATATATTTGTCTGCAAATCAAAACCTGTTCTTTCAAAACCATATGTCATTGACGGATCAGCCCAGCTAATGCTGGGCTTTCTTTTGTGAAGGCCGAGCTGGAGGTAAGAGTTTTGATTTGCGTTTGCTGCTTTTAGAGCCGGGAAGAGTTTCGTTCCCAGCAGTGCTCTGTTTGGCCACCGGTACAGAGCATTGCAGCCCATGGTGATGCCATGTGAGACCATTACATCTTGGCTGACCTGCCCTGACATTTGGATGTTCAGCAGTGCCAGCTCTTTGCTTGCAGGAGGGAGAGCTTGTTTGCCTGACCCTACCAGGGACTGGAAGGGCAACTAATGTTGACTAATGTCAAGTGGCTCTGCTACACACAAAAAGGGTCTCCTGAGACCCCTGCTAGCATGACTCACAATTAGAGCCAGCAAAGCTATAGATTTTCATTAGCAAAAGTGTTTTTCCTAGTGAAGGACTTTGAAAGAGATCCAAACTGATGCGCTGAGGGTTAGGTAGTCTGGTGAAGCTTTTAGAGGAGAAAGACTGGCAGCAGCTAGCATTTAACATATATGAGGAACTTAAAATGGCCATTCCCTGGTTCCTATATCCTGCTTAACTCAGGCAGCCCGCTGGGGTAACAAAAACACTGCAAATCAAAGATATCACTGGTAGCAGTAGAACAATAGTTGCCATGTGCTGCTGTACCCAAACTTCACCCAGATAGACAGTCCATCTTCTCTAGCAGTCATCACCAAAAGCTGGAAAAACAGCTTATAAAATGAACCCAGTCATTGGATAACAACCTTCCTAAAAGAGCAGAGGTCCACTGTCCTCTGTGGCCGGGAGATAACCATGATGAGCAATTAGCACATGAAAGGTGGCATCAGACTCTGCCCTCCTTTAGCTACCTCAGTTTTAACTCCATGTCTGGGGCCTCCTGCGGCAGCAGAAATTGTTCCACGCCCCCGTCACTTTGTGGCTGCGCGATGCCCTGGTATGTGAGAGCTTATGTTTATACCTCAGCTTTACTGTCTTTCCTGGAGAGCTGAATTTTCTCTTGGTGAAAGCAACAAAGCTCCATGGAAAAGCAACAGCTCCGAGGGCTGTGCTGATTTACTTCAGGCAAGTTGCTGGCTCAGTTTTCTATTTTATGCTCTGGGGATATTTTTACTCTGTACCTCCACTGCGGCCTCCAAGCAAATTCAGTTTTAAACTCATCACCGCAGGGGTCTCCTAGTTATGTCCCTGGATTGAAAGCACAGCTGCTGATGGTACCACAGTATTCTCTCATCACAGGCGATTTTGAGGGTAACTGCCCCAGAAGGTGGTTTGCCGCTGTGGGAAATCTGAGCGATCTCCTTCCTCTCTTATCAGTCCTCTTCCAAGTAGGTGATGGCTTTGCTTCTCCAGGATGGAAAGACACTGGCCTAATTGCTCTGGAAAAAACTTTCAGCCAAAGTAAAGCATGAAAAAATACCCAGAAAAGCCTGACCTTCTCCCAGCCTGTTCCCTTGGTAACCATCACCTTGCTGTTACGGTATTCAAAGACAACTTTTAAACTTTTCAGAGAATATAACAAGAAGGCATTCAGGCAGGGTCAGAAGGAGCTGGGAAATGAGTTTGCTTTGCTCCCAGGCAGAGGCAAGGTGTCAGGCAGGGAGGTGCCAGGCAAGGGGCAGGTTGCTATTCCCTCCTCTGGGGACCGTGAGCTTGTTTTGGGGGAGATACGAGCATGGCTAGGGTGCTCTCTCCCTTCCCTCCCAATTCCCCTCTTGCAGAGTCGGGTTAGAGGATGGAGTCTGCTTGGGGCTGGCTCCCTGACACCTCCCAGTTAAGCACTGAGAGAAGGATTTTTTTCCATTTCAGTGAAACAGTGTTCTCTGCCTGCTCTAGCTTCTTGTAAGGGGTGGTTTCTGCACGGTGGTTTCCTGCTCTGTTCTCCACACAGGGTAGCACACAGCTACCTGCCTCAGGTGTGGGTTGGTGGGGGCTCTCAGACCTGGGGTTGTAGAATC